GCCAGCACTAGGTCCAACAAGGCGTCCCCCCTGGTGGGGGAGTTGGAGAGGGGAGGGGGCCCGTGTGCTTGGTGGTGAACCTGGAAGTGGACTGGACATACTTCTGGGTCTGCTGGGGAGCGTGCTGGGCCCCCCCCCGCCCACACTCCCCAGCTGGGCGATCAGCTGCAGGGGGACCCTGGGTACTCCCCCAGACCCAGGTGACACCAGTCACCGAGCCGGGGGGGGCACCCAGCATGTTCCCTGGCAGACCTGGAAGTGTATCAGAAGTGCTGCTGCTGTGCACACTGGGGAGCCCCCTGTGCTCCTGTGGGATGCTCCATCTGCCCCAGCTTAACAGCATTAACAGCCGAATGCTCCCTTTAGGTGTGTAGAAAAAACATTTAAAGCTGTGTCTATGCCCGAATTGCTGAATCTTTCTGAATCTCTCCAAATCGATTCAGAGGGTTCCAGTTCAATTTGGACAGATTAAAGGGTCTTCTGATTTGATTCAGATTCAGAGATTTGGCCACCGAATCAGGGCGAATCATATCAGGAACTGAAACTTCGCACCACCCTAATATATATAGATATATAAATAAAAATAAAACTATAAAATCACCTGCAAAACTAAATTGATTTTAGTTAATCAGAAATAAAAAGTTAGTATCTTGGGACCTGTTGAAGGACTAAAAAAGGGTTCCCCTTCAAAATAGTTATTCAGAAATTCAAATTGTTATGCCAAATATCCTGCATTTTTAATACAACCAAACTTCCCATTTTTTTCCTGGGTTGTTGTAGGTCACATGCTACAGAAAATTCTTCACTATGAAACTCTACATAATTTCAATAGATTTAATTTAGAAGTGAGGGAGAAAAGGTTGAAGTCCTTTCTATACATGTAATACCTTTGCAACATATGCCCACTGAAATGAATGCAACTACTTGGAGTCACATACTATTCAGTAGGTTTAAGGGTGGTACAAAGTGTATTTCAAATATTTTGTGCCCTTAGTGGGTTGGTTGGTTGGTAGGTTGAGAATAAGTAGTTTCCCCAAGCTATTAAGAATCATAAACACTGGGCCTGGATGATCTGAAGGGATGGTGGGAGGGGAAGAGCTGGGTTTGGCTACCAGGTTGCTTAAAGCTGGGATTGGTTTGTTGAAAAGAGAGTAAAGAAAAGATGAGTAAAGGCTGTAAGTCTTTGCCCATCCTGTGCATTAAGCTGTGTGTTGAGGAACATGTGGTACTTTTCAGGGTGGTAGCACTTGCACACCTCTGTGAACTTTCTTGTGCTCTGGGGGAGCACTTAATTGCTTTACAACCATGATAATGGCCTGTACGAAATAGGCACTATTAGGTCCTGATCAACAAGTCTGACCTCTAGGGAAATAGTTAATGCCCTCTAACAAAGACTACCCCAGGGGAGTGAGGATATGTGGAAACCAGTATATAATATTCTTATTTTTTAGGACAATAGTTTGATCCAAATGTTTTCTTTATTCTAGATATTTTTGCAAAATGAAAAATAAGTAGTAATACAAGTAAGTGATGGTTGAAAAGTTTGTAGGCTGCAAAACCAACTCAACAAGCATTCGTTTATGCCTTCTCACCATTCTGTTAGTATCCTGGAAATATCAACTATGGTGAGTGCTTCTGGTAAATTAGATGAGCTATGGTAAGTTAAATCCAGCTGAGACTGTATGATCAGTGCTGATGCAGATGACATACATTCCCTACTCACACATTGCAAAACAAATGAGCACTAAAATGTCTAAATAATTCTTAAGGAAATCACTTTTATAGTATTCACAGTATTCAGGAGTTCATTTTAGAAAAAAATGATGGAATAGATTACTTATCTCTGTGATGTATTAATTTAAGATTCCTTTGCATTGTTTTATGTTAATTTAGTTAGGCTAAATGTTCATCTTTTCTATAACTGATTGTAATTTATTTGTAAGTTATACCAGTTAGTATGCAGTACTTTGGCTGCATGCACATGTTTTTATGCAACACTGTGCATATACATAGTTAACACAATGGATAGTTTTGTATTTCTGTATTGTAGAAGTATTTACTGGTTAATATTTTCGTTGCAAGTTTTTGAAATACTCCTTAAGTATTGCACAAAAATCAATATTTCTTTTCTTAGCAGGTGAAAACAGTCCAGTTTGTCAGATCAGCAAATTCAGTCCTCTGTATAAATAAAATGAATTTATGCTGTACTTTATTGGCTTTTTTCCTAGTATGGGTATGATATTTCCACCTGATAGATGGCCTAGAGATAAAGGATGCATCATGATCTACTGAAGCCCAAGCAGCAGAGATCTGTGATTTTGGCACTGCAGGATAAAAAATTACAAAGCCATATCTCACATTTTTTACAGACCACCTCCAGGGGGGTATTGAGCACCCTCCCCTCTAGTGTCAACAGGTATTAGAACATCACAGGATCAAACTGTTATAATAATTGTGGGTTGTTTTACAGCATGTTAATAAACAGACTTTGATCCATTTTGTAAAAATGATATTTTAGTGATATGAACATGTATGTATTGAAATAATAAAATAGTTGTCTTGCAGCATTGATGATACGTAGGGGGTGCACACGGCCGCATACCCCCTGGAAGTTTCACAGTTTCATAGTAGCCAGGGTCAGGAAAGACCTTAACAGATCATCTAGCCTGACCCGCTGCCACAGGCAGGAATGAATGCTGGGTTCACAAGACCC